TACCTATCAAATTAAATCCCTTTGAGTCTAGTTTCCAACGCATCAAACCGTTCATCATTTGGATATTTCTATAGAAAGTTATGGCCATTTTACCGGACCTATGTCATATGCGTGACCGCCCATATTTGAGAGTTTCTGCCTCAGGTGTGCGGCCAGATACGCGGCCACTTGCCCAGGTGCACGGCTGCGCATGTAGGATCTCATTTAATACCCCCAAGGCCGGGTAAGATTCAAACCCCTAGTCTTTAATTTCGAGTTTGGGGTAAAAGATGGGTGATTTGGAGTATGATTTTTGGGTGTAAGAGTATTAATTATACATGCTTGTACCAATAAGGTTTGTAGGAAGATTGTTGAGCTAAAATAAGTAAAGATTGGGTTGTGGAATGAAAGAAATCTTGTAGAAGAACCTTGTAGCTAAATTTGCACACCTAGTGTTTGATAAAATGCTCAAAGGAGCTGAAACCAAGAATATCTCCCTAATTTGTGTTCAGTTTTGTTATGTCTCAAATAGATTGGGATTGCTAGAATTTTCGGAACGTTGTAGTAATTTAAGGAAAGCTCAAAGCAAGGTATGTTGGCTAAACTTCTTTCCTAGAATTGAATTGCATGATGTTCTTATAAGTCCCGAGTTATTCTTTATAAATCAATTATTCCGAATAAGCTTTGTGTTGAAAGGTGTATGTTCAAAATGTGTTCCGAATGCTCTTATTATATGATTTTATCCTTCGGGAATGTGTTCAAAGCATGAGTTGGGTATAAAAATGTTATGACTCCAAGTAGTGTTTCAAGTGAAGGCTATTATGCCAAATTGTGTAAGAAGTCTCAATGTGCATAAGACTCTTAATTGATCATAGGTGTACTAAAAGTTGTGATTAGAGATTCCTTGTTGTCGGTAATCTATATAGATGCTTGAAAGTGAAAGTAGTGAGTTGGGGATATAAAGTGTGAATACCGTGCCAAGAATGAAAGTTATACTTGTAGCCAATAGCGCCAACGAAGTGAAATGATGTGTGAAATGTTATGAAATGAGCCTTGATTCAACTATTCCAAATTGACTCCAAAAATAGAATTATCCAAAAGCTTATGTACTCACGTCATGTCCTAATGTGGTTGTTCTAACTAATTCTATACTTGGTGGGTATTTCCAATATGTTTTGAGTTTTTACATATTCATGAGTTGAAATTGTGTATTGGCCTTTTTGGGGAAAGGTATTGCAAGAGTATTATATATGATGATATTTATGATGATAATCCTTGAAAGTAAAGAATGAAAGTGCGGAATATGATATGCGGCCATAGTGCCATGAATGAAGAATAATATGTATAGCCAAGGGAGCCAATGAAATAATGATGTTGTACGTAGTTGAAAGTACTAATGAAGTGATATATGGTGTGAAAGGTTATGAGATGAATGTATTTGTACTTTTGTTTCCAATGTGTTCTAAGCCCCTACGTACTTGCGAGTAAAGACTATGATGTTCCTAAATGTTCTAAATGTTCATAATGTTGTATGATCTCCCATGGCAAGTACAAGTAAATGATAATATGAACATGAAATATGGTCGTTACCTAAGTGAGAATTATGAAGTGTTGTATGTCCCAATGGTTTCAACTATAGTTGTACACTTCTGAAATAATGTATGTAAATGACTTCGATTGTTAAGTCCCCAAGAGTCATGAACCTAGATAATGACCTCAAGAGGTCAAGGGAGTGAATAATGAGATGGAAGGGAGATGTCCTTTGTTAAATGATGATGGACCTTAAGAAAAAGAATTGGGCCCATGTGCTATTGAAATCGACTTATTGATTTACCATGCATGTACTAATGTAAAGAGTTGTGTTTCTCCATGATGAGCATGAATATGAAGTATTCTAATGATATGAGTAATTACGACCTTAATTGTAATGACAAACAATGTGCTTTGAGTTTATATATGATATTGTGATTGGGATTACACCTTCAACCGCATACATTGGGGTGAGGTGGTAGGGCCGCTTTGTGTTGGGATTGTGGTATTATGATACACTTCCACCCGCATATATTGGGATGAGGCGGTAGGGCCACTTATGTCGGGATTGTGGTATTGTGATACACTTTCACCCGTATATATTGGAGTGAGGCGGTATGGCCGCTTGTGTTGGGATTGTGGTACCGTGATACTCCTCCACCCGCATTTATTGGGGTGAGGTGGAGGGCCGCTTTGTGTGAAGATGGTTATAGAGGATCCCCGAATTATTATTTATAAATGATTAATGAAAGCTCTTAGTAAATTGGCTCGACGTTGACGGTTATCTAAGCCCTTTTATTGTTACCATGATTTATCATATTCATGTTGTATTTTCAAGCCTTGAATAGGTGTATTTGTATTCTGTAAGTAAACACTATGAACGGCTTATTAAACACACATGTGTATTATATAGGTAATATTGTGAACGGTCTATGAGACGCATAGGTGTATAATATTATATGTGAACACTAAGGATGGTATATGAAATGTATATGTGTAAAATAAGGGAGGAAGGTGCTACTTTCATTGGCCTTGTTTGTACATGTTGTTACAATTACATTATATTATGTATTCCACGTATAGATCATATGGGCATTCTATTTTGAAAGAGAATTTTTAGCTATACATACTAGCGCTATTCGACAGTACTAACGTCCCTTTTGCCGGGGGCGCTGTATCTTTAATGGATGTAGGTGGTTCTACAACAGGTGACNTTTTAAAAGAGGATTTTTAGCTATACATACTAGTGCTATTCGACAATACTAATATCTCTTTTGCTAGGGGCGCTGCATCTTTAATGGATGCAGGTGGTTCTTCATCAGGTGATATTGATTAGTGATAGCAGTATACTCTTTTCAGCTGATTTGGTGAGCCCCACTTCATTTCGGGGTCATGTATCTTTTATTTCTCATGTACTTTGTGGTTGAGGTATAGCCGGGGCCTTGTTGCCGACATTTCCATATTACTCTTCTATTATACTTAGAGGCTCCGTAGACAGGTTGTGGGTTGTGGTTGATGTTGGGAATTGAACTAGAAATGTTGATATTTGGAAATCATGTTTTTTTCTTTTCATTAATTCTATAAACTCGTAATATTTTGAAAATTATGAATGAAGCTGCTAATGAGAATGAAAAGGAAGTTGTTAAAAAATCTTTTTAGTGTTTGATTAATGGAGTACTTCTCCTCCTTATTCATGGATGAGTTTGGGTAGAAGGAAATCTAATAGTCTTGCTCGGCCGGTTTCTCTCGGTTGAGCGCCGGTCGCGCTCCCCGAATTTGGGCGTGACACTATTTACCTAGCAACTTGGAGGTAAGTTAATTCTACCTATTGTGAGTTAAATACTTAGATTATGGGTAGAGTTTAACATGTAAATTAGTAAAAAAATATGGTTTTAGATGAAAAACCTAGGTTTTGATAAAAATAAGATTTTAACCACGAAAATGGTTATGGATTGTGATAAAAATTATAAATTTGAGTTTTTAAGGTTATGGGTGACGATTCCCTCCGAACCTTTCCAGAATCCGGGCACGCGGGCCCGAGGTGAAATTTAGGAAATTTATCAATTTGGGTTGGGTAATTAATATAATAGATAAATTATGAAATTTTGAGTATTTATTGATTAAATTATATAACATTTGGCTAGTTTCGAATTTTCGGCATCAATTGAGGCTTTAACGCAAAATTGTGACCGGTGTGAGCTTTGAGACGAGGTAAGTCTCTTGTCTAACCTTGTAAGAGGGAATTTACTCCATAGGTATTTTAAATAAATAATTGTTCCTAATTGTGAGGGGCTACGTACGTATGAGGTGACGAGAGTCCGTGCGTAGCTACTATTATGCTATTGTCCGGGTAATTTAGGACCCAATTCATGAACTATTTGGAAATTTTGCACCATGCTTGATAGTTTTAAAATGCCTAAATTATATTGGTATTTGTAGGGAAAATTGTGAAAGATCGCTAGTGAAATTCGTATTATTTTGTATAAAATATCCTTCTCTTCTTGTGAAGCGGGCCGAACGCATCGGGTAGATAAATGCATCTATGGTTCGTGCCGCTCGATCCTCGACGGTGTACACATTATTCCGGATCAGGCCATAGGACCTCGGCATAAATCGTGCTTAATAAGAATAATTACACGGTGTCTTGACATTATTATTGCAGTTTGTGAAGATAAATGACTTATTGGAAATTATTAAATTGTGAAAGAATTATTTATTCTTGCTTGTTAAGGAAATTTGTTGTTATTCCCATAAACCGTATTTATTTAAATATTCCTATCTTAATATTATTGACAGTGTCGAAGTCGACTTCTCGTCACTACTTATTCGAGATTAGATTGATACTTACTGGGTAAACGTTGTTTACGTACTCATACTACACTTTTTGGTGCAGGATCTGAGACATGTGCATTAGGCGGTCCAACCGGCGCGTATCCCAGATATCCTGAGGCTTAGTGGTGAGCTGCTTTATGAGCCATTCTGCAGCTCCTAGAGCCTCTCCTTTGTATTTGTATTATGTTTATTTCATGTTCAGACAGTAGTTGAGTTTTGTATAATCTACTAGATGCTCATACACTTGTGATACCATGTCTTGGCACACACGCTAGTAGATTTATGGTTTTGAACTATTACTTGGTTTTATTTATTTAAACCTTTTATTTTCTTATATCTTGCAAATAAGGAAATTTTAATTACTCGAAAACTTATTAAAAAAGGAATTATATGTTTAATTCATTAGTTGGCTTGCCTAGCAGTGACGTTGGGCGCCATCACGACCTATAAGTGAAATTGGGTCGTGATAAAAAATGGTCCGAAATCAATCCGACACTTGCCCGAACTCCTCGGGACCCCGCCCGAATATACCAACAAGTCCCATAACCTAAAACAGATCTATTTGAGGCCTCAAATCATGCATAACAACATCGAAACGATGAATCGCACCTCAAATCAAACTTAATGAACTTTTAACTTTCAAAATTCGCACCGAAACATATCAAATCAACACAGAATGAACTCAAATTTTGCACACAAGTCCAAAATGACATAACAAAGCTATTCCAATTACCTAAACCATAATCCGAACCCGATTTTATCAAAGTCAACTCCCGGTCAAACTTATGAACCTTTTAAACCTTCAAATTTCCAACTCTCGCCAATTAGCACCGAAACCTTCTAGAAATATCCAAATGCAAATCCGGGTATACGATCGAGTCCAAAATCACCATCCGGACTTAATAGAGATGTCAAAACTCCGAATCGAGGTCAAATATTTAAAAAGTCAAACTTGGTCAACTCTTACAACTTAGAGTTTCAATCATGAAATTCATTCTTTCAAATCACTTTCGAATCACCTGAAAATCAAAATTGACGATTCACACAAGTTATAATACATCATACGATGCTGCTCAAGGCTTCAAATAGTTGAAGAAAATGCAAATTCTCAAAAGGACCGGTCGTGTCGTTACATTTTCATTTGTAATTTTCTATCTTACTCAATAGTTCTATAGTCGTAAAATAATAACTAATATTGTAGTAATTTTTATAAATATTATCCGACTACAGTTTCGACTGTAGTTGTCGGACATGAAGTTAAAAAATGTAGAAATTTTCGAGTACAGTAGTCTGAATTTATTTTCCGACTTATCATTTTCCGACTATACAAAACGATCAGAATGTAGTCGGAAAATTGGACATTGCAACTACTATACGACTATTTTAGTAGTTGGAAAACTGTGATTTTCTGATACCGTTGTATATGTTTAAGATACTAAATAATCTAAACATATATATTCAACGAACTGAGATATACACAATTAACTAACACCTAAAAATATGTTATGACTATGTACTGGTAGATGTAATGAAAATAAAAAGTCGTTATTATCTGGAACTGAAAGCTGGCATATTGTAAAAATCATGCGGGCAACTAACTAGATGATATTAAACAATCTGTGATAGCAATTATACAATATATTTTTCCATTGTGTATAGATATCAAATAAGATCATGCGGTAGTTATTTTGCTAACTACTCATCCAATATGAATGTTAATAATTATCATCTAAATGGATATATAGTTTAGAAATAATTATCAAGTTATCTTAATTACACAAAAAAATGTATGTAGGAAAGATCATATGCACACAATTGTGTGAGGCCTTTTGGTGAAACCGTGCCGGCTTGACCCAATTTAACGTGGTTTGGTCAATGTGACCTACGTCAACACGCGAAGAGGAGCAATTTTACTTTATCAATAAGAGTACAAAAGAGATTACAAAATTAGAGTAAATATTCTAATTAGCCCCAAATACCCCAAGAGAATAACCTTACAAGATCACTCTAAAGAAAGAATTTACACAAGTGTTTCCCAAAACACAATCGCTTACAAAATACTCTATAATGAAAGGAAGCGAAGACAAGAGACGTTTGTCTCAAACTTTGGTGTATTTGATATGGAAATTTGCCAACCTATTTAAAAGAATATGAGAAGGTCATATATGGAATATGATTGTCCAGCAAGGCCTTTAATGAATGAACATAAAATGTCCAACAAAGTGACCAATAAAAGACGACATAGAAGCCAACAAGGAACTTACTCTATGGCCAAAAGTAGGCCACGTATATTACAATACTCATAATATATTTGTATCTGCAATACATTATTCCATCTCAATTAACTAAGTGGGAGAGACGAAGAGAAAGAAAAGATGGAGAAAAGGAGCCTAGTTCTATTTATTTGCTTCATTGTTATGTCATGCCAATGGTTCAAGACGTTGATTTAGGACCAAAGGTTGTTGAAAAACGGTTCGAAAAACTTCCCCATGCAAAGCAAAAAGTAACCAAATTTCATTTTTATTTCCACAACATACTCAGAGGTATGAATCCAATTGCGGTTCAAGACACTCACAGTCAAAATAACATGTGCAATATAGCAATATACAATAGTACTGAAAAACAACTAGCAATGATAACAACAAAAATCAACTAATGATATAAATAGATATATAGTTTAGAAATAATTATATAAATGGATATATAGTTTAGAAATAATTATCAAGTTATCTTAATTGCACAAAATAATATATGTAGAAAGGTTCATATTCACACAACTGTGTGAGGCCTTTTGGTAAAACCGTGCAGGCTTGACCCAAATTAACATGGTTTGGTCAAAGTGACCTACGTCCACACGTAAAGAAAATAAATTTTACTATACCAATAAGAATATAAAAGAGATTATAAAATTATAGTAAATACAGTAAATAGTCACAAATACCCCAAGAGAATAACGTTACAAGATCACTCCAAAGAAAGGATTTACACAAGTGTTTTCCAACACTCAATCTCTTACAAAATACTCTATAATGAAAGAAAGGAAAGACAAGAGACATTTGTCTCAAACTTTGGTGTATTTCATATGGACATTTGCCAGCCAATTTATAAGAAAATGAGATAGTCATGTATGGAATATGATTGTCCAGCAAGGCCTTTAATGAATGGACATAAAATATCCAACAAAGTGGCCAATAAAAGACCACAAAAAAGACAACAAGGAACATAGTCTATGGCCAAAAGTAGGCCACGTATATTACAATACTCATAATATATTTGTATATGCAATGCATTATTCCTTCTCAATTAACTAAGTGGGAGAGACGAAAAGAAAGAAGAGATGGATAAAAGGAGCCTAGTTCTATTCATTTGCTTCATTGTTATGGCCATGCCAATGGTTCAAGGCGTTGACTGAGGACCCAAGGCTATTGAAAAATAGTTCGAAAAACTTCCCCATGCAAAGCAAAAGGTAACCAAATTTTATTTTTATTTCCACGACATACTCAGAGGTAAGAATCCAATTGTAGTTCAAATAGCCAGTCCAATACAATTGCTAAATCCCCAACTTTGTTTGGATTTGTTGCAATGATGGATGACCCATTAACAGTTGGGCCAGAGCCCAATTCAATAATAGTGGGCCGAGCCCAAGGAATATATGGTTCAACTGATCAAAAAGAAGGTGCCCTTCACATAAATCTCAACTTTGTGTTCACCAGTTGTAAGTTCAATGATAGTACATTGAGTGTACTTGGTCGGAATCCTATGTTTAATCAGTACCGTGAAATACCGATCGTCAGTAATTCTGGAGTTTTTCGGTTGGCTCAGCGAATTGCCACTACAAAGACCGTTTGGTTCAACATAACCAATGGGGATGCTATTATTGAGTATAATGTTATAGTATTACATTACTCACATATAGGCTTACATCACTCATAATAATTTAAAGTTTTACATGTTGATTTTCATTTTTAATTTCCTATTTTACTCAATAGTTCTATAGTTTCTCTATTTTGTCATAAAAAAGGATGTGTATTGCTGATCAATAAAATAAGACGTTTAAGATGTTTTGAATTGAATGGATAACATCTTAATTTCTTACACTACCAGAAAATTGCTCTTCTCCAACTACTAATTCCGGCTACAAAACAATAGTAAGAAATTTTCGATTACAGTTGCAACGAATCGATCGGTTGTTTTGCTTTCTAGATTTTCGTTCTCCTAATTAAGACATCCCGTATGTGCTTTTCCCATTTTATGACTTGTGAAGATGGTTGGCTTGGATTTAAAAAGTTCGGGTTGAAATTAGAACACTTAGTTCCTTAATAGTGGCCTAAGATGACCAAGTTTGACTTGAGTCAATATTTTGAGTAAACGATTTCGGAATCGGGATTTGATGGTTCCAATAGATTTGTATGGTGATTTTGGACTTGGATATGTCTTCAGATCGAATTTCGGGTGTCCTGAGAGCATTTCGACGCTTAATGTTGAAAGTTGGTGCATTGAAGGTTTTCAAGTTCTTTAAATTTGGTTTGAAGTAGACTTTGATGTAATCGAGTTTTGTTTGAAATTTTGAGCCTGGGAATATATCTGTATGGTAATTTATAACTTGTACGCAAAATTTGGCATCATTCCGAAGTGCCTAAATATGATTCGGCGCGTTCAGATCTAGTTAAAACGTTTGAAGTTCATAAGTTGATCAATTTAATTTTGAGGTGCGATTAATAGTCTCGATATTTTTTTTACATGTTTCGAGGATTCGAATAGATCCGTATTATTTATGGACTTGTTGGTGCGTTTGGACGGGGTCCCGAGTGGCTCAAGTGTGTTTCGGACTACCCGGAGCTAAGTCAAAATTTTCAGAAAATGCTATTTTGTTTCCTTCTTCGCGAATGCGGAGAAGGAATCGCGTTCGCGATGAAGGAATCGCGTTCGCGATGAAGGAATAGGTCTAGGTGGAATTTTTTCCTATGCGTTTGCGGGTGAGTGAATACGTTCGCGATGCCCTGGGCCACTGGCCTTCGCATTTGCTATTAGGCCTTCGCGATCGCGAAGTGTGAGGCTTGCTGGGGAGGGGGTCTATTAAAGGCCTTTGCATTTTCATTGACGCTGTCGCGTTCACGATGGTCATGTTAGCTAAGACTTCGCGTTCGTGAGTTTGGTCTCGGTTTCGCGAAGGGAAATTTTCCAGGCTTGGGCATTTTTCATTCGAGATCGCGGGTGACCTATCGTGACCGTGAAGAAGGAATCACTAGGCAGAATACATTTTAAAGTCGGGACTTAGGCTTAGTTTTCACATTTCTTATTGTGTTGGACGAATTTGGATCTTCTTGGGGAGGGGAGGGGTTCATCAAGCACTATAAGGTAAGTGATTCTTTCCTAATGTAAGTTAAATACATAGATTATGGGTAGATTTTAACATTTAAAATGAGGAAATTTTAGGATTTTGTTGGAAAACCTAGGTTTTGATATAAATGGGATTAGGCCAAGAAAATAATTATGCAATTGAGTAGAAATTATATATTTGTATTCGTGAGGTTATGGGTAATATTTATTTTTGAAAATTTCCGGAATTCGGGTAACTGGGCTCGAGGGTGAATTTTAGGAACCTTCCAAATCGGGTTGGGTAATTACTCTAGTCGTTAAATTATAAAATTCTGAGCACTTATTGATTAGTTTATATGATTTTTGATTAGCTTTGGATTGCTCGACTTCGTTTGAGGAGTTCTAGTGAGGTTAAAGAGCCGGTTAGTGGACTTGAAAGCGAGGTAAGTCCCTTGCCTAATCCTGTAAGAGGAAATTTATCTCCTTAGGTGTATTAATTATTGTGTGCTACTTGTTGTGGGGAGCTACGTACACACGTGGTGACGAGAGTCCGTACGTAGCTATATCCATGTTATGCTCGGATAGACTTAGATTCACATCATGCCTTATTTGTGCTATTTGTATCTATCATGTGTATTGATTTCCTTGATTATGTCTGAGAATAAGGATTATAATAAAGATACTTAGTTATCCTCTTACTTTGGAAAATATTTGATGAACTATGGATCTGTGTCTTCTCGACTCACATGTACTTTCGCGAGCGAGGTAAGTTTCTCTACTCTTATAGGATGGGGCCTTCGCCTCAGCAGTGTATTAAATTACTCTTAGGGGATCAGGCTGTTTGCCTCGGCAGTGTATTAAATTACTTTTATGGGATCAGGCCATTCACCTCGGCAGTATGGTAACACTATTCTTATGGGATCAGGTCGTTCACCTCGGCAGTACTGAGTACCACTATTCCAATGAGATCAGACCGTTCACCTCGGCATCTTTGTGCTTAATACTCGAGAATAGATTTGGTTTGTTGAGTTAGCATCTTCAAGGCCGGTTATGACATGTTTAGTGACTTTATATAGCCTCATGCGGGGAATTACGGTAATTGTTTTTTTCTGTTTCATTGCTACTTATTGTACATTCTCCATGTCTACTTTATGTATTTTTATTACTGTTTGACTACTACTAAGTGTCAAATCTCCCACTCGTCACTACTTCTTTAAGGTTAGACTGGATACTTATTAGGTACGTGTTGTTTTACGTACTCACGCTACACTTCGGCTTTGAATGTGCAGGTACTGAGACTGTCACGACCCAAATCCGTAATAGGCCGAGACTGTACCTAACTCCGCCGTTAGACAAGCCCACAAGTGTATCTACAATTGATTGACCCCTTTTTAACAATTTAATACAAAAGTCTTTCCTTTTTAGAGAACACTTTAAAATAGAGTTCGTGCAACCGTGACAAATATTTAAACAAAATACCAACATAATAAGTGCATACTCTAGGGTGGTAGAAATAACGAGTATAGCAGTACATAAATGCTACAAATTCCCAAAACCCGGTGTCACAGGTACATGAGAAATCTAGAGAATATACAAAACTATTAAAAATTCTATCAGAAAGTAATAGACATGAATAATAAATATGATGGAAGGAGACTCCGGTGCTGCGGATCGTAGCAAGGCAAACATCTCACCGCTAAGTCTCCGTAGATGATCGGCTATGCACCCGCGTGACTATTGGTGGAACCTGTCTCAGTACCTACACATCAGTGCAAAAATATAGTGTCAGTACGGAGAACAATGCGTACCCAGTAAGTATCTAGTCTAACCTCGAAAAAGTATTGATGAGGGGTCGACTTGACACTTACTAGAGGTCAATAATAATAATAAAAGTGCATAAAGTCAACATGGTGAGCATACAACAAGTATCAATGAGACAAACAAAATCAACTACAACAAATACAACAGGAGTCCGTAACACATCACCAACATCTTATAACTGGCCATGAAGGCCCTAACTCAATTAAGCACGAAGTTGGAAAACCTAGGTTTTGATATAAATGGGATTAGGCTAAGAAAATGATTATGGAATAGAGTAAAAATTATATATTTGTATTCGTGAGGTTATGGGTAATATTTGTTTACGAAAATTTTCGAAATTCAGGCAACTGGGCTTGAGGGTGAATTTTAGGAACCTTCTAAATCGGGTTGGGTAATTACTCTAGTGGTTAAATTATGAACTTCTGAGCACTTATTGATTAGTTTATACGACTTTTGATTAGCTTCGGATTGCTCGGCTTCGTTTGAGGAGTTCTAGTAGGTTAAAGAGTCGGTTAGTGGACTTGAAAGCGAGATAAGTCTCTTGCCTAACCTTGTAAGAGGTAATTTATCCCCTTAGGTGTATTAATTGTTGTGTACTACTTGTTATGGGGAGATACGTATGCACGTGGTGACGAGAGTCCGTACGTAGCTATATCCATGTTATGTCCGAGTAGACTTAGATTCACATCATGCCTTATTTGTGCTATTTGTATCTATCATGTGTATTGCTTTCCTTGATTATGACTGAGAATGAAGATTAGAATAAAGATACTGAATTTCCTTTGATGAACTATGGATCTATGTCTTCTCGAATCATATGTACTTCCACGAGCGAGGTAAGTTTCTCTACTCTTATGGGATCGGGCTATTCGCCTCGGTAGTGTATTAAATTACTCTTATGGAATCAGGTCATTCATGTCAGCAGTGCA